GCCTTGGAAACCCTGTACAGGGTCGCTATGAGTCAGAACCGACTCCACAGCATATAACAACAACAACAACATGTCCCTATTACTCTATTTTCAGGAGCCTGTTCTTCATCAAGCCTCACTTCCAGCAACTCCAATACTTCTCCTCACATGACCTCTAATCTTCTTTTCTCTTCGGTAATTCTCTAGCCATCTGGAGACTTTTTCCATCTTTCTCTGCTCCTATTAGTGTTCCTTCTGTGCCTTTTATTCCTCTTCCTTTACTTTCTACTTTCTCAATTACTGGGGACCATGCTGAAGTAGACTTAAGAAGAAATTCGTTTAAAAGGTTAGAAAAGACAATGAAAAAAGAAAGACTGAACACTGATAAATATTATAGGACCCAGATTATTTTCTTGGCTTTCTTTCACAGTTAAGAGCTGCTAGAAAAACCCTAGCACTATTCTAATTTCCCTAAAATACTACTCATTAGCTGTAGTTACCTACAATTTTCATTACCTGATCTCCATCATGGGTAGTTTTTGTCTTTTAACCACTGGTTTCCACAATAATTAAGCAGAAGTTATCACAATTTAAAATCTCTAAAAAGACAGAGTTGAAAACAGTGCTCCGAGGCACCCAGTATGTTATCTCACCTGGCTATGGATCGACTCTGTGTCATCCGCAGGAACCCCAGCCAGTTTCTCCCCACTCCCTTTTTCAGTCTGAACTGTGGCATCTTGTTTTCCAGAGTTCTGTTCTATTGTACTGGTCCCTTGCTCACACACATTCTTTACAGTCTGGGTTGCTGCTGAAACAGTTTCTGGGGCCCATGGGGAACGCTCGATGGTCTGAATTCCTATGTTACTTTGGCTGGGCCTTTCAATCAAGGCTTTACTAAGTGTTTCCTGATTGGTATTCCGTCCATCTTTCTGGCCTTCTGGCCAGTCAGTCTCCATTGCTTCTCCGTGAGGACTAGATGGCCCCTTTGCCACCGTCTGCTGGGAGACAGAAGCAGCAGAGTCCGTGGCAGCACTAACAGACTTCAAAGGTTGTTGATTCTGCTTAGTCCTTTGGTTACACTCCAATATTTCCTTCGCTGTTGCTTCTTGAGTACTTGGAAAATGAAGTAAGTTCCCCCTGAAAATCAACCATGTAAAGAAATCATGTCAAGTAAGAGTGTGTGCATATACAGACATGGTGTACACGTGTCGATAATGGCAGGAGAGAATCATTTTGTCAATCTGAAAACGTATGGGAAGGGAGAACTGTAAGGTGGCCAAGCATCTCACCTAGTGCAGGTTCCTACTAATATCATTGCTGTGAAATATTATGGTACATGTAACTATGCTCCCATAATTACAAAGTTGTCACAAAACTTCTTCCCATCACTAGCTATGAACTCTGAAACTAGACACACAAAAATGAGGTAAGCAAAAAGATATATAATGACTAACCAATAATTTTCAGACAAGAAATCAAATCTGATCAAATCACAAAAATAAATTTAAGACTACAGTTTTACTAACCATCATGATATATCACAGTTAGCTATTTCAGAATGACACAGCTCCTCAAAGACAGTTCTCAAGAAAATGCACACTTCTTTTCATTAGTCTTTCCAAATGGGTTCATTCAGTTACTCCACAAACATCGCGAAATTTCACGTAACAAACTTCTCCAATCAACAGAAGATATGATTCTCCTTACCATGGGCTATTTAATTCCCAAAAATACAAATGAGCTCACGTTTCAAATAAGAATGCCTATTTAAAGCAATGAAATGTTTCTTCTAAGTAAAGTTTCCCTTTGAATAACCCGGGCTTGAACTAAGTGGACCCACTCACACGTGGATTTTTTTTTTTTAACTCTAGATAACTACTGTGGTAAGCTCAAATGTTTTGAATAAGAGACCACAACATCCTGAGATGATTAGCATCACATGTTGTTTTAAGTGGCTACTAGCAACAGTTGAGTTCATTGTAGTGGCAACAGGAAAAGAAAAATCATATTAAGTGGGCATGTGTAGTTCAAACCTGTTGTTAAGGACAACTATAAATTATACAGATTTTTGGCTGAGGGAAGGGGAGGGGGTCTGTGCACCTAGCCCCTGCTTTGCTCAAGGCTCAACTGTATTTCTATCAATAAAAAATGGAGCTACCATGCCACAAATATCACTATTATAAATATACCTACTCACACTAAAAAGTTTAAAAAGAAAATATATACCTTACTGACAAAACATTATCACATAACATTATCAAAATCATTAAATTCTAAAGATGAGAGATATCACCACTAATTAAAATACTAGTTAATTTTCAATAATAAATATGACAATTACCACAAAGAAACTACTCATTATTTAAAATTTAAATAGAAGAAATACCTTGTAGGTTGAATTTTTTTCTCTATGCTTCAGAGAGCATTCTAAGGTATTATGAAGTAAAGAGAACATAAGAAAATCTTAATTTTGTCAAGTCTTGAGTATAAAATTTGGAATGTTAAGCATTCCAGATATTTTTAAAAGAAAAATATGCCCTAGGGAAATGAGGAGAAATAAAAGACTGAGTCATTTCAAACTGATAGAAATGGTGGCTAAAGATAAAAATTCTTTATAAAATATTTAATAAAATTTCTTAAAGTACTTAGAATATGCCATAATCCCACAGATAAAAATGTAAACTCAAATTCACAAGATAACCATAACCCATTACCATCGAGTTGATTCAGACTCCTGTAAAACAGAGGAGAACTGACCTATAGGGTTTCTAAGACTGTGTAAGTATTTATAGGAGACGACCATGGAGTGGCTGGTAGGTTCAAACCACCAACCGTTTGACTGAGTGCTTAACCACTGCACCATCAAGGCTCCCTAAAATATTTATGATTCCAGTTAGACTATGAAGTTGCTTTGAAATGTTCATGGAAAATTATTTTTTCACAAACTTTCTTAAACACCCTCATATGAAGATAGTGGTGGTTGGTGGTTGTGTGTCACACCAAGTCAGTTCCAACTCAGAGCCACCCTATATAGGGTTTCCGAGGCTGTAAATCTGTATAGGAGAAGAACGCCTCATGGAGTAACTGGGAGATTCAATCTACTGACCTTGCAGTTAACAGCCCAGGTTGTAATACACTACACTATCAGAGCTCCTTCACAATATAGTAATAGTAAATATTAGATTTTCATGTGGACCATTGTGTGAATCAATACAGCCCAAAAGACACATGAAAATTTCACAATGCTTGCCTGATAGGTGTGGAGGGGGGATCCTGACTTCTTGCTTCATCCTCTTGCTTAGCTTCACAGACACAGCTAAACACAGAGGTGGTCTTCTGGGGACTAAGACAATAAATTAAAGCAATATATACTATGTTAGTTTTAAATGGAAAAGTATACCTAAATATTATCCTTTTGACACAGAAGAAATAAAATTCTTTCTCTGCATCATAAACTAAACCTTCCTTAATCCAAAATCAACTTTCTAATACTTGCAAAAATAGCATCATAAAAAAATCAAGGAAAATATACAGGAATAAGGTAGATTAAAGACCATACTAAGGAAATATCAAGATGTAATCAGCAAAATACAGAATGGAGAGAAAACGCTAAAGAACAAATAACTCAGTTTCTTCTAGAGATAAATTATAAAGGGAGGGGGGAGAGGATCCTATAGAGTAAGTTTTAAGTATAGACTTCTTTAAGAGACATTATCAACTACATGTACCATGCAGGCCTTATTTGTTCCCTCTTACTGGTCACACACACAAATTAATCACAAGTTATGCCTACCACACAATTCTGTTAAAAATAAAGAGATCAAAGACAAACTATACCTTCTTTAACACTCACTACATATCATTAAAGGGTCTTCAACTGAGTAAGGACTCTAAACTTAATATTAAGTTTCATATTAATATTCAAGAGCCCCAAAGTATAATAAGATCCACCTAAGTCATAGCTAAGACCAGATCAAAGGACAGGGGTCAGAAACTCACAACTGATGGTCAAACTTAGTGTATAGACATGTTTTATTTGACCCAGCAAGCAAGCTGGTTTTTTTAAAATCGTGATTTTTCTTTCAAAATAAAACCAAATCAAACCTGTTGAGTTGCTCCTAACCCATGGCTATAATCTTTTTTTTTTTTTTCTGCCTATAATCTTTTAGAAAGCAAATTACCAGGCCTTTCTTATATGGAGATACTGAGTACCAGTAAGCTTGCACCATATCTTATGTCAATAAACAGGAATGGAACATACTTTTCAGTCAACCATTATCGTCAACATTCCATGCTGTCTTGCACTTAACCTGCTTTACTTTTACTTATTTACAGTACCTGCAAAAACTTTCATCTAGGAGTTCTTGTTATATTTTACCAACTAATGTTAGTATTTTCATTCTGAATGACTCATGTCAAAAACAAATGAAATAAGTCGACTCAAAACAGCCACCAGATGGCAAAGCATAACCACCCGTGCCTCAGCATAGGGTCATGATCATCCTCAAAACATTACAACAGTCATGACACACCAAAAATAACACCTCAATACAGAAGTTAATTTGACAGGCACAGAGAATATGTTCTGAGACATGGCTGATTATGGGGGTCTCAGGAGGTACAAGGCTCCCATCTAATTTCTTATTAAACTCTTTCCTCACCAATAATGAACAATTTCACTCTTACCAACAGAAAAAGAGAAAAATGGAACTCTCATATGAAGAAAAAAGAGAAAGGGAAAGACCTTTAAATCCTTTAAGTATAGCAAAACCGTTTTTAATCTCAAAGTATTAAAAAGAAATTCCAAGGGTCAACACATTGCTAAAGCCCTTATATGCTGGCGTTTTTTCCTCTGTTGATAAATCATCTTCCCTACATTACCAGTAGCTCAGTATTTAAGGTCTCAAAATAGCAACCAACTCTGGTTACCTGGCAACATCCTCAGCAACAGCAGTTTTTCTTTCATCAGTTGCAGGTTCTGAATAAAAACAAAGGCAAGGAGAGAAACAATTCACTTAGTACCAAACCTTCACATGACTAGTACTTGCACCTAACTCTCTTGAAATGAAATAGAAACAGTCAAGAATAGTAAATAAACAAAAAGTCCTATAATTTAATGGTATAAATATGTATTAGCTTCACCAATTTTCTTTCAATTTCCTGCAGAAAACTAGTCAGTTTTGAAAACTTGTAAGCCAGTCACTTCGTGCTTTTATAGCCCCTCCCTGCCACTCCCCCTCCCCCATTTTAGGTAGCCAATGTCTCAGTTGCCCATCCCTATCTACCCTGTATACAGAGGGGATAGGATTGATACTTGTGATGTGATGACTCCTTCCTTCTCAGTTGGTATTTTGAGCTACTACATCCATAAGTCCAGGTCAAGTTCATTAAACTGTAACAATTTACACTCATTTCCTTTATTAAAACTTGTTTTGTCTTCCTCTAGCTGAGTTGATTATCAAGCCATCGAGGCTAGGTCGAATGGGTACTATCTACAAGTTTGGGCATTCTTGTGCATTTCCCTTCACTTCGTAATCACCTGTATGCTTCACTTTCAGCGCTAGCCCTCTGTGACTATGTCCTTGTCCATGGGCTCAGGAGTCACCAGGTCTTACCACACTTCAGACCAACCAGCCCTTCCTCTTCACTCTCTCATCTCCAGGATGACAGAAGTCTATGGAATGTGGTCACACTTAGCCCATTTCTTCATTGCTCCCTTTTCACCTCTTCCACTCACCAGCTGACCAAAGCAGGAACCAGCAATCTTACATGCCTGCTCATGTGTTCGCTTTGAGTTTCAGTCTTGGAGAGGGGACTGTCCTGAAGTGACTTGATTGCTTGCCTTGATGGCTCCCCGGCGAACAACTTCTTGTTAGTTCTCGTGGTAGCCAATCATACTGCCATTTTTGTTTTGGATTTTTCCTGCTTGTGTTTCTTTCAAGAAGTACTTTATGTTCCTCTAGCTGTTCCAGGCTGATCTGTTTGTCCTTTCAAGTGGGAATGTAAACACCTCAGGAGGTTCTGGATGGGGCTCAGGATTCCACCTAAGGTCCTATACACAACAAAGGCTTCACAAGAAGCCTATTTCAATGAGCAACTTCTAGAACTCTTTTTAGGTATTCTAATCAGTTATAGGAGTCCTGGTGTGGTGTTGTGGGTTAATGCGCCAGACTACAAAGCCGTTAGAACTGCAAGGTCAGCAGTTCAAGTGCACCAGCTGCTCCTTGGAAACCCTATACAGGGTTGCTATGGGTTGGAATCAACTCGACGGCACAATAACAATCAGTTACAGGCTGAAGATGGGCTTACAAGCTTTTTGTAATCATGTTTTCCTGATATTCCTTTCTTTCCCACTCAAGTGTCTATTTTAAAATAGTAGGCAAGGGAAACCAATATTCATAAGACAGTCAAGCATCATTTCCCCTCTTTTACCCATTCAGACTATGACTCGATCTCTGTATCACAAAGCCCAGTTGCTGCAAGGTTGAGCATACATTACTATATACCTGTTTCATTTAGCCCATGCAAACCTGCCAGTGTTCCCCTATCTACATTGTTCTTCCATTTCCACCACGCCCCCCCACCACACTTCTTGTGTATTGCCCTCCCCACACCTCAACTATGAGGAGTCTATTCCCTACCCTGTGCTCTACCCCTCCCCACCCTGGTAACCAACTTTTTTTTTTTTCTTCCTCTTTTAGTATGGGTATCTTTTCTTAAGCTTTTACAATAATGGTCTTATACAATATTTGTCCTTTTGTGACTAATTTCATTCAGCATAATGTCCTCAAGGTTCATCCATGTAATGCAGTGATTTGCAGCTTCCTTGTTATTCTTCAAGGTAGCATAATATTTCATTGTGTGGATGCATCAAAGTTTGTGTATCCATTCTTCCACTGATGGCACTTAGGCTGTCTCCATCTTTTTGCTATTAAATAAATAGTGCTGCTATGAACATTGGTGTTCATGTATCTACTCATGTTCTGGCTCATATTTCTTGTGGGTATATGCCAAGTAGAGGAACTGCTGGGTCATAAGGTATTTCTATTTCCAACTTTCTGAGGAAGCATTCCCGCCAGCAATGAATGACACTACCAGTCTCTCCATATCCTTGCCAGCATTTATTGTCCACTGCTCTTTTGAACTACACTGTTATTGCTGGTATGAGATGATATCTCAGGCTTCCATTACTTTGCATCTGCTTCTTAACCGTTGTCAATGTATTGTCCTTATCTGAGATTTAGTATTAATCTTCTGGATTTCTAATCACAGGTTTTGTTATTGTTTCAAGATTTGCATTTATTTTATATTTGTTCTTGTTTTGTTTTCCTGAATTCTAAAATTTTTTATTGTGTTGTTCTTGCTTTCCACGACTGAAAATTTCTATGGACCCTTTGAAGATACCTAATTATCATTCTTTTGAATTCTTTGTCAATTAGTTCTATTATCTTTTCTTCCTCAGAAACATCTTCTGATTCTACATCTTGGTAATTTGAGCCATTTGCTCTTGTTTCTTCATGTGTGCTAAAACTGTCTGCTGTATCTAGAACACTGTGAGGTTGTTGTATTTGTAAAAACAAACTGCAATTATTGTTGGGCCTGGAGAGGAGAAATTTATGGATGGCTGGTAGTTGGCGCTGCAGGTTAATGTGCTAGACTGCAAAGTCAGTTTGAACAGAAAGGTCAGCAGTTCAAGCTCACCAGCTGCTCTTGCTTGTAGCTATGAGTCTGAACCAACTCAATGGCACTTAACAACCTGCAATTCAATGAGCTCAAGAGATGATGTTGAAGGAATGAGAGCAGACTTCCTGACCAAGGAGTTATTATCATCCTTGATGTTATCTATTTCCAGGGCACTCAACCCCCACTCAACCTGGAAGTAAGGAGCTCTGGTAGCGTAGTGTTTACGAATTGGGCTGCAAACCAGCAGTTCGAAACTACCAGCTCCTCAGCAGGAGAAAGATGAGGTTTTCTGCTCCTGTAAAGATTCACAGCCTCAGAAACCCTGTTCAGGGTCGCTATGGGTCACAACTGACTCGACGGCACTTAACAACAACAACAACCTGGAAGTCGTTTGTGGGGGCCCTTGATGGAGCTGGTTTCTGTGTCTGTTAGGACCTCAGGGAGGCTGGGGCAGTGTTAAATGCTGTTCTGGTGACTGCACGTTTTGTAGGTCTGGAGCTGAGTCCACCTGAATCCAGGAGCTCCAAAAGGGCACACCAAAGCAGTGAAGCCTGCCTCTACCTCACACTGGCATGACTCCCAACCATGCGCGTTTCAACTTCTACAGAGCAGGGTGTAAAAGCTGGAGGTGGATGAGGTGGGGAAGTGGTCACTAGTGAAGCATGGGGGAAAGAAGAAACCACATTTTTTATGTTGCCCACTAGAATCTGCTCTCCCAGGTCTCTCCCCACTGCCAAAATTGCTTACTAGATGGTCAAGCCATGTTTTTTCTGTCTCCCTCTCTTGCTGTCCTTGCTTAGCCTCTCTACCCAGCAAGCATTCCATCCACCTTTCTAAACTTTCTTTTGAAGCTCAGGGTGCTAGAATTTTCATCTGGTTCTGTTTTAGTTTCTCTTTGTTGTAGAGGGTCTGGGTAGTGCATCTGCTTAGTCCATGATATTCTGGATGTCCAATATGAAACTTTTCCACTGTCTCTTTCCACAGATGTAGTCATTTTGATTTAGATGTATTCCACCTAGTGAGGTCCATGTTTTTAGACAACCTTTATGTTGTTTTAAAAAGGTATTTGCAACTTGGTCTTACCAAATTCTTATTGCGTTATCTTCAGCATCATTTCTATCATCAAAGTCATATTTTCCAACTACTGACCCTTCTTCGTTTCCAACTTTGGTATTCCAAAAACCAGTTATTATCAATACATCTTGATGGCATGTTTGCTCAGTTTCAGATAGAAGAAGTTGGTGGAATTCCAACTACCAGTATTTATCAATATATCTTGATTACATGGTTGATCAGTTTTTCAGACTGGAGAAGTTAGAATTCTCCAATTTCTTTATAATTGGCTTTTTAGTAGTTGGTGCATAAACTTCAATACTAGTGGAATTAACTGATCTTACTTATATGAATATGGATATTATCCCATTACATATAGCATCATACTTCAAGCTAGATCTTAAAATACACTTTTTAATTATCAATGCAATTCCATTTCTCTTCAGATTGTTATTCCCAGCATATTAAACCATATGTTTGTCAGATTCAAAATGGACAATACCAGTCCATTTCAACTTATTAATGCCTAGGTTATTGATGTTTATGTAGTCCGTTTAATTTTTTACAAATATTTTGTATATTCCACATTCAGATTAAGGGATGTTTACAGTTGTTTCTCCTCATTGAATTGTGCCCTATCAGCAAATGAAGGCCCTGAAAGCTTTACTCCTGGATTGGGGAACTTTTTATGTCAATTGTGATTTGGATATTTATAACATCATCCTCAGAACATACAAAATTATCAACTTAAAAATTAGTCTGTTCAGAGGTAAATAATGATATATGCACAACCTGAGAACAACAGGGTTCTGGGATACAGAGATCAAGCCATGGTTGGAATGTGGAAAAGGGGGGAATAATATTAAGATGCTTGGCTGTCTTTTGCATCTTGGTTTTCCTTGCATTATATTATAAAA